TTATGTGCCGACGAGTCGGCCCCGACTCATAGCGACCCCTCCTTGGGTTTCCGAGGCAGTATCACTACGGAAGTAGGATTGCCCAACCTTCCAAACTTTAATCCTTAGACACTTTAGGAGAAACTGAGTGGGAAAAAGAAAGACTATTTAATTAAGTAAATATGTTTATATCTTTTAGAGAATTTTTTTAAAAACAATTCTTTGCCATTTTAATTCAGGCCTTCTAACAGGTTCATTCTAATTCAAGTCCCTACTGATAATTTGCATTTCTACCCCAATCATAACAGGAATCAGAATCTATAGTTTAACAAGATCTCCAGGTAATTCTTACAGATGTTGTTTGAGATGTAGATTTTGATTCAGTTCATCTAGGATAGAAATGCAAATTCTCAGGAGGGAGTTGAACCAGAAAGAACCCATTCAAAACCCTGTTTCGATTGAATCTTATTTTTCCCAAGTTACTCTTTTAAGTAGTGAAGGGAATGCAGCACAAAAGTGATAAAAATAATTTATCTAAATTGTGTTATTTATGAGATCTCTAATCCTTTACAATGGTTTCTTTTTCTCTTACAGCAAGCTAGTACTTTGGCAGATCTGGACAGTGGGAATATGGAAAAAATTATTCAAGATGAAAATGTTACTCTGTACGTGTGGGCAAACCTCAAGAAGAATCCAAGGTATTCCCTTGGTTGATACTTTCCCTGTAGTCAAAAGACATTAGAGACATCATGATTGCCAAGTAAGAAGGCTTGCTGCATAATAGCATTGCACACTTGGAAAAGCCGGTGTTAGGAAGTCAACTGAGTGGGGTTTGAATCCAAGACCTGCAGTTACCTTAGGCAACTTACTTAACCTTGTTGAGCTTCAGATTTATTATCAGTAAAATGATGATTATGCAACTTAATAGGACTGAGGATTGAACAACAAGGTATGTAAAGGTTATAGCATGGAGCCTAATACAAGTCTGTATTCAGCAATAGGTCTCTGTCCCCTTCCTCCCTCAAATCACACACACACACACACATACACACACACAAGAATAAGAGGAGGTAGATGCTTTCTGCGTGGCAATCTAAAACTGAAAATACACACACACATAATTATCTTTGTTGACTGTTAAAGATAATACATTCTCATGTTTATTATTTGTAAGATATTAAAGTGATGTTTCCTCAGTTGTTTTCAGCAAACCAACATGTTCCTGAGGAATGATAGTGATAATGACAAATTCATGGTCATGCAGTTGCTACTTAACCTTAACCCCAAAACAAAAACCAAGCCCACTGCCATCGAGTCAATACCGACTCATAGAAACCCCTGTTGGGTTTCCGAGGTGGTAAATCTTTATGGAAGTAAATATATTTATTATGCTCCTGAAAATATGTGAAAAAAATATGTATAAAACTAAGTTTCAAACTCACTTTTGAAATTTCAAGCACTCACTCAGTCTTGCTTCCACAGAGTGGCTGGTGGGTTTGAACTATCAACCTTCTGGTTAACAGTCAGGTGCTTTAGGCACTGTGCTACCAGAACTCCTTTACCTTAAACATTCCAATTAATTAAGTTAGGATAGCAAAGAGTTTTAAGGAAAAAATGACTAGAATAAAAATTAGGAGGCCAAGGTTCTGATCCCAGCTCTGAAAAGACTAGTTATATGACATAGGTAAAATTATACTTTACTTTCCATATTTAGCAAAAGGAAGGAACTTAATTTCTTATTTGGATTTGCAAAATACTTGGTGGTTTCAATTCTAACCAAAGACAATACATTAACCTTTTTCACTGTAAAATTATCATATACAGAAGAACAAAGCAAATAAATCTGTATATTTTTTAAAGAAGAAAAATTATATGAATACCTCTGTCTTAACCACCTAGGTTTAAGAAGAGCAGTAGATAGTATCTTTTACTAAGATAAGGAATAGTGCTGGCAGAACAAGTTTTGTTTTATCTTGATGGTGATGGTGGTAAGGATTGTAAAGATGAGTTAAATGTTGGGCTTGCTGGGCTTGAAGTACCTATGAGATATCAAAGTGCAACTCAACTGTTTGAAGGCATTAAGAGAAAGATGAACAGGAGATGAATTTTGGGTGTCATCAGCCTTATAGATAAATAGTTCTTAAATTTTTGGGAATCACAGACTCCTCTGGGCATCAAATAATTTCCACATGCTCACATAGATGTAAGTGAATTTTTAGACCTCTTAAATCAATCCAGAGATGCCTTTTCCTACCACCTCACCCTAGGAAACATATAACCCATATTAAAAACATCTATATAAATAGAAATTGAAGTTATAGGAATAATAAAATCCAGGGAAATTATGTAGAGGGAAAAGAAAAGAGCCTTGGATTGAACCCTGAGTAATATTAACATTGAGGGGGTGATTAAGATGATTAGTCTCCACCATAATGAGGAGACTGGGAAAGAGTTGTCAGAGATGGAGAAGAAAAGTGTGGGGTCATGGACTCAGGAGGGTGTTTTGAGAAGGAAGGTGTTGGCAAGTGGGTTCATCAAATGCCACAAAGAGAGCAAACGAGTGCAATCGAAGTGGGGAGAAATATTAAGTATATATTACAACAGATCTAGAGTTTCCTAGGACCTCATCTTTTGTGTTAACATTAATTTATAACAGGTACAAAAGTATCAAGTTCTCAGGAACAGACATTGGATTTGAAATTCCAAGGATGCTAGCAACATGTGACATTGCTCTAAGACTCTTGCATACTCACTATGATCATGTTACTCCACTGTTCCCTGTTCCAAGACCATTAAAAGTAGAACAGACTTCCACAGTAACTAAGGATGTCAAAGATCAAGTTAAGAATATTGCAGAAGAAGCAATCAGCAAAGAGTACCAAGAAGAGCCTAAACAACCAGAAAACGGATCTATCACAGTTCCTGAAGAAGTACAAGTTGAGGAAGAAGGTGATGCTGAACTACAAATGGTAGGATACATTTAAATATGTATATATATATATATATATATATATATATATATATATATACACACACACACACACACACACACACACACACATATATTTTTTTTTCCCTACATGTATTAAGTGTTATTAGAGTCCATGAAGCAACTTCAACATTTTCTCTAAACAACTGGTCCGAAGGTCACTTGCTTGGCAGTGGGTCAATTTTGAATGTGCATTTTTGTTTCTCTTGCCTTCCATTACTAGTCATCATTCATAGTTGAGGTAGGTACTTCAACTTCCTAAAGTTCAATACAGGTAATGCTCCATTGTATACTCATTATGCTCCTGAAAATCTTTTTTTTTTCTTTTTTTAATTGTGATTTAGGTGAAAATTTACAGAGCAAATTCACTTTTCATACAGCAGTTCACATACACTTTGTCTCATGACATTGACCACAATCTACCACAATGCAACAGCTCCCCTCCCACTTGCTCCCAATAACTAC